TATATATATATATAATATAGTAATATATAAAAAACCAAAAATGAAATGATAAAAATGGGAAATAATAATAATAATAATAAGCAACAAAAACAAGAAAAACATTGAAATATATCTAATAAAATTGTTCACCCTATTTCTATCAAATGATATCTTCTTTGGAAAATATTATCAAGCTTAATTTCTCGTTCATGAGAGTGTGAGAATGTGTATGTTGTATAGAGTAGTATAGTGAAGAAGAAGAGAAGGGAAATGGAGGCTGAGAAGCGTCGTGTGAAAATCGATGCTCGACCATGACCCGGGAAAATCGATGTTGCGCCGAGTCGTTGGGAGTCGACCCAGACAAGGCTTAACCAATGCTATATCTCCTTTATTATATTACCTATAGATATACTTTTGTTCAATGGTTAATCTCTTATCCCTTTTTATTATTTTTATATGCATTTTATTTTTTATATTTATTTTCTTTTATATTTTTCTCCATCCAATTAGGATTATTTTTCCTTTCAAATGTTTTTTATTCATGCGTAGGTACTCTTTAGAAAAAGAAAAAAAAAAAAACACAATAAAATAATAATAAAAATGTTATAAAATTTCCAACGAAATTCTAATAACCTTTTTGTCATATTTTCAAAGGATTAAAAATCAATCAGACTTTTTTTTCATTGGTTAATCTCTTATCACTGTCTATCAGTTTTTTATATATGCATTTTATTTTTTATATTTATTTTCTTTTATATTTTTTTCCATTCAATTAAGAATATTTTTCCTTTGAAATACTTTTTCACACATACTCGTTAGAAAAAATACAATAGAAAAATAATAAAAACGTTGTAAAATTTCCAATAAAATTCTAAAACACCATGTCGTTATATTTTCAAAGATAAAATATTAATTAAAAATTATTAATGATAATTTAATAATTTATACATAACTTTCTAAATGTCATACAACAAATAACACTTTCTTACATCAACTCTTGTTATAGAAAATAATTAATAAAATAATTTTAAATAATTTCAATCCTAAAATTAAAGAATAACAAAAAGAATTCTAATATTTTACATATATTTAAATAATGAAATAAATGATTACACACACTATGTATAAATACTATGTAATATTCATGAATAAATCAAGAATTGGTAACGAAAAGGTGTTGTAAAAATCTAAAATAATGAATAAGAGTATGATTATTCACGAATGGTAAGAAAAAATAGAAAAAAAAATAATAATAATAATTAATCGTAGTGTTCAGTGTCTAACATAAGAGACCGACTAGTCGATTCGTTATGCGTCAAGTTGCATCACGCTCTCCATTCGAGAGACTACTATACACATATATACATACATAAACACACATAGGAACGGTGTCTATGCCACGTAATCCATTTGACATTCTTGATAAACGTCGATCGTCTAACTAATCTCGGTTGTTAAAGGTTGACGAACGCCGAATACAAACGCGTGCCGAATAAACATTTCATTTTATCTAACCACCAATGATAATGCAACATTTATAATTAATATGAAACTACAAAAATTTCATTTTAATTTTTATATTACTTAATGTATTGTAGAATGTTTTTTTATTTTATTTTATTTTTTTGTTTTTTTATAAGTAAAATACTTCTTAGAATTTACTATATAATTTAATATATGATAAAAATATTTAACATTAATTTATATATTAATTAAAATATATTCTTAAAATTAATAAATAATATTATTTTTTTAATTAAAATATATTTTGTAATTTAATATATTATTTAATATATAATATTTTTTTTTTTATAAGTAGAATATATATTTCAAAATTTAATATATAATTTAGTATATAATATTTTTTGTACAATTAAAATATATTTTTATAATTTAATATATAATATTATTTTTTTTAATTAAAATATATTTTATAATTTAATATTTAATATTTTTAAATAAAATATATTTTATAATTAAATATATATATTATTTTTTAATAATTAAAATATATTCTCTATAATTTAATAAATAATATATATTATTTTTATAATTAAATTATATTCTATAATTTAATTAAATAATATTTTTAAATTATTAAAATTTATTGGTTCGATATTTATTTATTCAGTTCTTATTTTTTTTTTTTTTTTCTTATCAATTCAACGATAAATTTTAAAACTTTCGATAATATTACATTGAAATTTACAAATGAATCGAGTATCATATTAAGTCAATAGTTATTATCGTTTTGCGTATGAATTATTATCTTTTTTCCTTTTTTTTTTTTTTTTTAGATGTGTGTCGAATATTTTTCATGTTATTTTTATCGGTGTCACGATAAAAATGAGGTTTAAGCTTTTTCTTTGATTTGTTCGTTTGTTCTTTTTTTAATTTGTAACAAACTTTGATATAAAATGTACATATTCAAATTCAATGTTATAATACTGTTCATTCAAGATATAATAATTCAATGTACTATACAGTCTAATAATTTTTACAATGAAAAGTATGATGAATAAATCATGATAATAATTATGAAAGTCATTATAAAATCGTAAGTCATATAATGT